GAGAAAGTTGCTGAAGGTCTTCCGAGGGGGTGGAAAAAGAATCGGCAGAGAGAAACTTGGGGGGCAGCGCGAAAAAGGAAAACAAACGGAGGGGTTGACGTGACGTGAGAAAAAAAGTCGGTGGAAGAGGAAAAACGGTGTGAAGAATGAACAAAGTGATAGATCAACGGAAGAAGAAAAAAAAGTGAAAAAGTGCAAAAGGATATTGGAGTAGTATATCGAAACGCGCATTTCGGTATTTGAATACCGCCAACAGATCGACGATATGATTCTGTGACGAGGAATTACTGAGCGGTGCGTTGATCACGCTCGATCACTTTGATTTCCATGATCGCGATTCACCATTCGGTCTAAAGTCTTCAAGGAGAGCTTCCGCAAGTTTCAACGGTCCAGCGCAGTCTTCTTCAACGCTGTGTCGCTTGCGCGTCGCGAAATTCAATCTCAGCGTTTAGAGATCGCTCGCTCGCGATCCATCTCTCATCTTTGGAAATCTGTCTTGAAAAAAAGGAAGATGCGCCGTCCGGACTCCGGATTCAACTAAAGCTCTTCGAAGGAGGAAAGAAAGGAATCCACCGTTGGATCAGTGTGCGTTCAGACAGTGCGGGTGGATGTATGACGACAACAACAACGTTCGTTCCTTGGTGATCGGTGTTGCTATGATCGTGCCGCGTTGGTCCTGTCACGTGGAACGATCATGATTTACTTTAGGCCGCACGACGGTAGGAGTCTACGGTACAACGCGAACGCGAGACACTTGAACGTGCTCGTCGTGCCGCTCTTTCCGCTCTGGATTATCGGCGCGTTCTGCGTGAAGGACAGTAAGTGGATGTTGAATTTCGTTGTTGTATTTTATCGTATTTGCGTGAGCTTTCAAAGGTCGAGCAGCGGATCTATTTGGTTTTCCCTTTTTTGGTAGTTCCATCGACCATTTCCAGCTATCTGTTTATCAAACGTGAACGAGAGTCGGAAGTTTTGAGGAGCGAAAGTTAAATGAGTGCAGTTTGAAGGAGTATTTTGTTTTTGTGAAATTAGTTTCATAAGATCAACTTACGCCTAATATTATAAGTTAAAAATTGAATCGAGGAAATATTCATTCTATTCTAGAAAAATCTATATTTCCTTTGTTTTAAAAAAAGCAACGAGATAATTCTCGATAGCGAGAATCGTAAATATTATTAAATATTTTTTGCATGTCAGATAACAAATTTTTTTAAATTTAATTTAACTATATAAAATTATATTTTATACTTATATTTAACTACAATTTAACTATACAAAATTACATTTTATACTTGTATCGATATTACACTGAACTTCTGATTGAAAATCACGTTGTAATCTTCTGAAATAGTTTATCCATTCTCGATCAAACGCGCGCTTTCGGAATTATAATTTCACCACGTAACTCTTTCGTCTATTATCGTTTAATTACGACGTGCGAATGACCGATTTTGCGCATCGCGGCGGTTCGAACCGGTTTATAACGAATATTTTAACACTGATGGATCAAAGGCAACTCCTCTCTTTGATGATAGTTTCGGACGCTGCTTGTAGAGCCGTCAATGGTCCGGTGTTTGCATATCGGTGACACTGCGGCTCGTTTACCGCCACTTACTTCGCCCCCGTCGGTCATCCGCAAATACGGTTGCGCGACATACGTTGCTGAGAGCCGTCCTCGTTTGCGTTGTCGAAAGCACCCTTCGAAAGCCTCTCGAAAGCGGAACGTGTTGACTAATTAGTACGCGAGATAGAATAGTGCGGGTGACAAACGAAAAAAAAAACGAGATCCGTCAAAAAACGTCAACGAGTTGCGTAACGAGTTGCGCCGAGCGAAGCGCAACAATTCCGGACTGCGACGAGCCAAGTTTGATGAACGAACAGATCTGTGTCAGATCAAACTTCACTCTTTGACATGCGACTCTATTGTTCCGTAGAAGCTCGAGAGGGGCAGATTCCCGTCTTAATCTCGGCGACGCGACAGACGAGACGTATCGCGTCTCTCGCTGATACAGTCCGCAGTCGCGGTCTACGTATCATCGCTGAAAGTACAAACGCTTGTTGCATGTGACGTGAGAGATCGATCGAATAATTATCGTACTAGACTGGAAAATTTTTCGCCGCGTTAACACGGTAACAATGCGAGAAGAACTTGACTTCCGCCGGTGGAATTTTTCATTGGAATGAAAGATATTAGAGCGGTTCATGGTAAACGGTGGAAGTGTTAATAATGTCAAAGTGTGGTCGAGGGAGCTGCTTGAAAGACTCACTAGATCGTCGTGATAATCTTAACGGCTTCACCATTCAGATTTCCTCTGCTGTATAATTTCAACTAGCGACTTGGAGAAAGTTAATCAAGATTCACTTAATGTAAAATTTTCTTGAAATATTTACTCCAATCTATTTGAAATAGACGAAGATACATCAAAATTGCACGATGTAGCTTAGTACAAATTGAGAGCTACGATATTTTTGTACAGTATCAATAATAATTAATTGATTAAATAATTTGTTTCTGTTAATTAAATAATTAACAAAATTTATTTAAACAATTTATAAGTAAGATAAATAGACGAAACCGTTATTTAAGGGAGGATAAAAAGAAGGTCAAGACAAAAATACGTCTTTTACAATTTCTTTAACGAAAATTATTAATTTTATTCAGAGTTTTGATCAATATTTTATATACGTACGTATTGTACATTAATGAATGTTACATAAATTTTTTAAATTAGAAATATAAACACATAACGTACTTATCGTAACTTTCATGCAATTTATCTGAAACAAAAACAATTTTAATAAAATGATGGATTTCTAAATTTAAAAGATGTAATTTTTTGTTAAAAAATAGTATATTTTCTGATTGAAAAAAATATGGCTTAAAAAAAATTCCTACGACTAGATTTATTAATGTGTTTCATAAATTTGTTTGATTTTTTGTTTCATAAATTGTATGAAAGCTGTGATGACTATCGTAAATCGATATTATTAATGCCAACAGTTATCGGTGCTATTTTTAATTAAAAATTTTATATAATACTCACTAATATACGTATAACATATCGGTCAAAACCTGTTCGACTAAAGCTAATAGTTTTTGCAAAAAGAAATCGTAAAAATAAATATCTGATTCTTCTGATAGTGTATATCTCCGCTAATAAGCACTTATTAAGTTGCAATAAATTACCGGCTAAAGTCATGTCATTTGCATACAGACATACACTTGGTTCGCGTCAAAGACAAGCATTTTACTTCAACATGGACCTTTAGTTGTTCGAGCAAGTTAGTGAATCGAGGAAGTTCGTGGTCGGCTTTTGAAACGTTAGAATCTCGCATGTGAGAATGACCAGGCGATTGGCTTCCCTTAGTTGGTATTCAGTTGATTCCTCTGCTCGAATATATAAGCGGGCATCGTTGTTGCTTACAAAGGAACGCGACTGGTACTATTCGCACGAGATGTTCCGTTTTAAGTGGCGGTGTCGAGCGGGTCAAAGATAAACGGCTGCGACGAAGTGCGGAATCTCAAAGAGTCGACGAGGAAATCTCGTTTTGTGCTTGTAATCAAGTATTTAATGTCGACGCAAAAAATACATTGAGATTTAATTCAAATTTCTTACCGAACACATGTGATGATTTAAACATTTTTTAATTATACAATTATCGATTATAAAATGATACACTTCTATTCTTATATTTTTTTATTTTAAGCATTCTTATGTATATTCTAAATTTCTATTTTATTTCCGCGGAGATATTTTTGTAATCGAATTTTGTCCGTTTAAAGCCGTCCTGTTGCTCACCTGTCTGATTGAACTTTTTGTAATAAGAGAGAACCTAGTTTAGTATAAGCTATGTAATTTATTGATTATTATTTTATCAGAATATTAGCAAATAATATTATATTATTTGCAGGTCATTTTGCTATCCGTTACAGTTAAATGATTTTATTCGGGATTATATATTACTGTCAATCAACTAACAAAACAACGTATTATTTCTATTTGATAATATAGTGAGTGTATCTACCGTTAATTAGTTCTGTCATGCTTAATGATTGGCCTCGTTGATTCGCAATATCTATAATGCACGTTTAAACATGTGCAACAAAGCGTATTCCGCACGCGTTAATATCTCCCATGTCGTAACGAACGATAAATTCGGTCGGGCTTATTTACCGCCGTTGGTGATTAATTCTAGGGCGGATCGAAATTTGCTGAAATGGCAACAGAGCCCCATCCTCTCTTCCTCATCGTTCCGTTTTGTCATAAGTCAAAAAGTTACGACAAGCCGCGCTACACGTTTATCATCGCTAACGGTTCTCGCAACTCATCATACAGACGGATCACGTCACGGCGTCATGCCGGGAGTTATAGTGTTTCCAACAGCAGTAGCAGAAGCAGCAGTGTTCATCCCCTCTCGACAAACAGATTCTCATTCAACGACTGTCATGCGCTCGACCGAATTTTAAATTCGAGCTTACTCGTCGCCTGGGTCAAACACGACGTAAGGTTGATCCTCCGTTTAACGTCGTGCTGAAAGAACGCTTTCTAAAACACTTTCGGCGAATCTCGTACGTGCTCGAGAGAGCACAGCTAGTTCGATGATCGATAGTGTTCGCGCGTTCAGCGGCGTACCGTTCTTACGCTCTAATTCTACGCTAAAATGCTTCCGCTCCACGCAGTAGATTTTCGTTGCTACGCTCTTCGTAATCTCTTAAGTTAAAGGCGTCGCGTGCTACATAATATATAAGTTTTCGCACTATATAATATTTTTCGACTGATTTTATCCTAATTTATTTCCAAGATACGGTTGATGTAATAATGTTTGAAATAGTGAGAATAAAAGTAATACATGTAGATTGACATAACTTAGATAGAACCGATATTAAAGCCGAAATGTCGCTTTCATCATGTCGAATTGTTCTATGCAGTACAGCATTTATATGAAATTTCCAATTCTGTTTTTAAAGAGCAATACTATTCTGTATATTGCTTTTTTGCGCGACACAAAACGAGATGAATTCCATACTTTGTCGTTCAATATGATTGCTAGTATCATTGTCTCTTTACGTGAAATGCGTTTTTTTTTATTACAAACGATAACAAGATAAAGGTTTAATTTGTTTAAATCACATCTGAGTGCAATTTGTCAATTTGCATTTGTCTGAAAAATGATATACATGCGTTATATGCACACATATTATAGTTAAACAAATTTGTATCTTGTGTAACAATCATACAAATAAAATTTTTTATAAAATGTAAAATCTTGAGATTTTACACCTACCTCAAATTTTATTTATACAAATAACATTTTTTGCAAGTGTAAAATCTCAAGATTTTACGTTTATAAAAAAATTTTATTTGCACAATTTTTTTTTGTAAATGTAAAATCTTGAAATTTTATATTTATAAAAAAATTTATTTTACAATTGTTTTTACTTTACACTATAGAATGCCACAAGGCTGCGTAGGTGTCAATAATGCGACGTTCATTATGGCGTGGGAGAGTACGTAGGAACCTTTATAAGTGTGTGTGTGTGTGTGTGTGTGTGTGTGTGTGTGTGTGTGTCACAATAGCTGTACAACTCTTCTATTAGCACACGAAAAGCGCCTTTAATAGAAGAGATTAAGATATCAAAAACATTGAAAAGTACAATATTTTCGACAGACGATTGCATTATCGACAACGCGGTCAGCTGTTAATCGAGCACCGGTCGCTCGCCGTTTCTTCAGATGAAGTATGGGACGTTCCTTTCCGTATCTGCTAGTTGGCGATAAGTTCCGCGGGCAATGGGCATTTCTAACACTTCATGGCT